TCTTCCCTCCAAAATTTAGCATTCTAAAGTGATAGATATTTTAAGATTTAATTTTTCACTATTTTCATAGCAATATCGTGTTTGATTTGAATTGGACACTTTTGCCTAACTGTTAAATAATAGTTTAATTTGATCACCCATATTATCAAGTTTTGAGCTTTATATATACCAATTAAGAGTGTTGTTGTTGAGTGCATCTGAAAATGGAGGGTGAATGTGCATCATAATATTTGTCTGGGAATGATGTGTCCTATCTATCACCTATGCATAGATTTCCAAGGCACTTGAAATATGATGATGGGAATATGGAATTAATGGTGAACATTTCCTAATCAAAATGAGGCCCATTTCTTTTAATTTATTTTCTTACGTAGGGGAAAGGAGGGGTCTAGACTTGAAAAGTTTGTATGGTGTTATTATATGGAGCTTTGTTGGTATTATTTGTAGTATTAGTTAGGTCAAGATCCATCACGACCAAACTGGGCTCCACCATGAATTTAGAAGCCAACAAAAATTCTTTTCTTTTCAGGTTTCATCTCCTCCTCATTGACCATGTTGAAGTTGATTATATATGTTATTATGAAAGGTTTCATCTCCTCCTCCTTGACCATGTTGAAGTTGATTATATATGTTATTATGAAAGGTGTTGATATTTTAATGTTTAAATAAGAAACTAATAAAATAATATTAAAATGAAAGGTGTGTACGATCTGGAGCCCGAAGTAGAAGTTTCCTCTATTGAAATGTTATCTCCTCTTCTTCAAATTATGAAACCAAAAAAAGTGTGTGACAGTTTTTAAGTTTAATGAGATGTGTAGTTATAAGTCCACGAAGCCTCAGTTTTAGATATTCCCAAGACCACGAGTGCGCGAAGCTGTTTGATCCGATTAATGAGTTCATCAATTTACAACCATTGGGGGTACAATAACAAGTTCACGGTTCCATTTCAAGAACACTATGACACAAATATGATGTCAACATCGAGCATATGGATGACCCATGTGTCAAATTTATACAAGTGGCCCCTCCACGTTCATCAAGTTGAGGAGCCCTAATAGCACTCTTAAGGCTAAGGATGTGTTTACTTTTTGTGTGTGCATGTACTATATATGTGATGTGGGAGGAAATTGATGAGAGTTCATGATATTTGTGAAAACTAAAAAGTAATGCATCACATTGCATAAACAAACACTCATCTTCCAAAGTTTTCAAATCATGTGTTAGGAATGGACAAAGATACTGAGGCAGGGATGATGCTAGCTACTTTCCTTTCCCTCTTTTGAAAACTTTTTCTTGAATGGCTATCTGTAATAAGATTAAACTTTTGAGGGGCTAAAATGAGCAACTTATCTAAAGAGATTCCGACAATATGACTTGACTAGTGTATTATGGGTGATTTATGGACAAGAGCCATTTAATATTGTAGTGCATGTCTCATCCCTTCAATGGTTGACATATGTGCTGGCAGGATCATTCGTGCATTGTTATACACCATGGATTTCAGCTAAAAGCAAATTTGATACTCTAAGAGATCCTCCTATGTCCCAATAACGTGTTCACTCTCCAATTGGCCAATTTTATATGGTGGTGTGGTCTAATAAGCTTCAAACAAGTCTTTTGAAAATTTTAAACCATTTTAATTTTGGTGATTAGTACTCACTCTAATCAATCACTGGGTTTTGATTTGAGTGCACATCTGATAAATTGGAAATTAGGTTGCTCAGGATCAGATCCCTAAATGGGCCCAAACCCATATCACAGAAATCCAAAGGGTCCATTTGCTACAAGAACAAGACCATTTCTGACACCAGATGCAAACAAGATACCACGATTCTCGGGTCATTACGTGCCTTACATCAGTGTCAATCCCATCCTGCAAACAAAAACCACAGTGAGCCACACCCACATAATGGTTACTCACCCAACAAATTACTTTGGTATGCATCCTTAACTGATGTGTACATAAACTGTATTCAACTATTCTACAAATATCCATCTACTATGGCTTTGAGTTGGACCTTTATGGTTAAGCTCATAACCACGTACAAATTTAGCTTACATAGAGTGTGCTTGATTCTCCGTTATCCTGCTTTCTAATCACCTCAACGTGACTAAGGCCAAACCATGAAATGACGTTTAACTGCAAACGGAGAAACAAACGCACCAATAGAACTTCGGCCAATAAAAGTTCAATTTTATTAGTTAAGTATATGATTGTATATTTTATATCATATTAGCAAGTAAATGTATGTTATAAAATTTCATTAAAAGAATGATTTGGTGATAAATAGATTTTCCTAATTAATGTATCCATGTTTTGTGGTAATATATATGCAGGTATTGAAATATGAACCTATGACACCGTCGTTGAATACAATGCTCATTACTCGTAAATTTTAAGGTTAGTCGAGATTGAACCATGAAAAAGACATGATTTCTCGGTGAACCGAGATCGTCCCATCCTAGACACCAACATGGCGTACAGAATCAGCTATTTGTTGAAGATATTATTCATTTCGTATCAAATTCATCGAAAATTGTTATAACGCTGAGTTAGTTAGCATTTTGCGTTTCTGGATAAAACAATTTGTGCTTGCACCCAGCGTGGTGCAATGTTATTACATAATACATTATTTATATTTTATAAAGCTCTCTGCGTAGCATGACTGGTTTGCATTGCACATGAAAATCCATCAACTTTTCTCTAAAGTTGCCAATCTGACATGGTCCATAATATTAAAAAATAATAATAATAATAAATAAATAAATAAATAATTGAGAAACGGGTTCACTTGGGAATAGGTGAAGATCAATCCTGGAAATAGTGCTTGGAAGAATGCGTGGCCAAATATTTATTTAATTTGAGATAAGTTAGATAATTGCACAGTGAAGGAGCTTAAACCAGTGGTATAGCAGAGGACAGCATTCTTTAGTGGTTGACCTCGTGCTTAGATCAGCTGCGAAATGTGCTTAACAGACAAAAGTTGTGAAAACCAAAACCCTTTATAGTAGGCTTCACCGACTTTCCTAATTTTTCCTTCTCCCACCAACACCACCCACTGCCACTGCCAACTAGTTGTTGGCTTCCTTGTTTGTTATTTTGTACGTTAGATTCTGCATTCTGCCTCTCCACCATTATTTTATCAACCCTGATATCATTATTGATAAATGCATGATTATCAAATATCTTAATGTGCACAAAGGCATTAATGTATTCCAACCCCAAAACCGTACACGTGGCCCACATAACCAAAAGATCAGGTGGGTGGGCCAGACCCTAGATGGGTCTTCACCAACCAGCCCAAAGAATCAACTTTTTTAAGAACTGCAACTCAATATAATTATTGTAGTTATTATCAGAGCGTATGTGTGCTTAGTAAACAGTATAATGCATGTGACAACCTGATCGGGTTCGGGATGTGTGTTGATACTTGTTTATTCACGACCATGCAATTTGATGAAAAATTATTTTAAAAGCGATGGACTTAATCGATCTGAGGGGTGGGCAGTAGGTAAGATAGGGCCATCAGGGTGGTCATTCAAACGCATCCAACGGTTATAATTGATACTCGTTGGCAGTGGAAGAGAATCAATCTACTTGAGGGAGGTCATTATCAATTTGTTTTCTCTTATTTTGTTTTTCTTTTATCCTAGGGGACAGTGATGGCTACTCGTAAAGAAGAGCGAAAGGCAAACAGAAAAAGGATGTGGTTAAAAGGCAAAGACAGCTATTGTATGGTAATGAGTAATGACCATCCAGGGGGCTATTCCCACCATGAGCAATATGGATAAGCCAAGCCAAGTTTATGAGAACCCTTTATTTGTTTTGGTTCAGTGTTCTCCAACGCAATCTGAGTCAGGGACATGGAAAAGGAAGGGAAATTAACCAATTGTAAGAGGGCCAGTGGCAAGGAGAGACCATTGGATTCACTCCACTTGCTACAGCAGCGGCAAATGGAGTGACAAATAAGAGAGCCAAAGCTTTGGTTCTCATCACTTACTTGCACAGTCAGATCCCACTTTGGTGTTATGTTTACTTTTACCATTCTGCCTCATGCCAGATTGAATACCAACAAGGCAGGGAGATGGATTTCTCACCTAATAATGAGAGAGAGAATGCGATAGTCCGTTAGTGGACTTGGCCGCTTTATAACGCAAACGCAGGAGGGGAGACCAGTCATCAAATTATTGGTCCCCTCACACCCTGTGGAAGCCATATATGTTTATACATCACCCTAATATAATATCCATATTCAAACCACAAGGAAATTATTCAGACTGTAGGTAGTAAATTATTGCCCTTCTAACATAAACAAATAGGCTTTGTGTGAGGTAATTGAGCAATGGAAAGAGCCCCTTGCAAAAATCTGATGGAAGATCAGAACCGTCAAACTAACCCTCCCTCTTTTATTTTTTCTGTTAAAAGGAATGGATCCTCACGGCGTGTAAATGGAACCCCACGAGAAGAAAGGGGGTCCTGCAACGTGTACTTGAACAACACTTTCCACACATAATTAATAGGTCTCACTGTCGATCATTCCGCATTCAGAAAACGAAAGATATAGACACTATATGGTCCATGCATATTCTGGCATTTATTAACCATCTCACAATTGCTAACAATAACAATAAATCCAACAGTCAGGTGCTACAGCAACACATCCGTGAACAAAAAAAAAAAAGACATTTGAGATTGGGGAGACAGATAGGTTTATATCAGTCTGCGGTTTGGATTCTGGCTGGCCAAAGTTTCAACTAACTATCATTTGAATCCAAATAAACAGACTAAATTCCTTACAAAAGTGAATACAGTTTTTGCTTCTCTACTGGTAAGGTATGATGGATAAGTTAGAGAACATCACCTCTCCAAACCTTCTGTTTTGATCCTTCTGAATCTGCTCTCACTGTACCATCTATTTGAACAAGGAAATGAAATAATGCTACTTATTAACCAATCCTCAGAGCAGCTTCAGCAATCTCTCCTCCCCCCCCCCCCCCCGCTCCCATGATAGAATGAATATAAAAGAAAAAAAAATACATAAACTTTGACGATACAACAACATTGAATGACTCAATGCTGCAGGACTTCATTTCCTGAATCATCCTCCCTCTACCCCTTCCTATTATTCTATTCCCTCTCCCAATCTTCAGTCCTCTAACGCAAAAAAGGGCAAATGAAGAAATTTTCCCAACTCCCCTTCCAATAGCAGCTTTGTGGCCTGCCATCACTGCAGCCCACGCCAAGAACAGGAGTTGTAAGCTTAACTTTGTTTGCCAGGGACAGCAGAGAAATCTTCTGGCAGGTTTATTTAAAATCCCCTGCTCCATCCTATTCCATCCGACAGCCACCATTGGAAAGAGCTAAAATCTTGTTGAATTAGAAAGAAAAATCTAATGCAGGATGGTAACAATTCTTGGAGCGTCATCCCGTGGCCCATCAAGAGACCGATACATGTACAATATCTCAATATCGTCCCCTGCTTTCGACTCACTGTTGATGACTTCCAAAACCAGGCGGGGCAATGCCCGCGCAACTTCTTGGCAAGCTTGGCGCGTCAATTTACATGACGACATCCAGAGGAATCTCATGTTGTAATAATGATGCAAACCGGATCGCAGAGCCACATCTCCAAAAGGACTATCCCTGACTTCAAGCTTTTGCAAATTGGGGCATCCTTCAAGCACATATTTAAGGGCCATGTCAGTGTCCCCATTAAAGGCAACTGATAGCGTCCTAACCAATTTCCCATACTTGCCAATGTACTCAAAAGCACGATCCGTGAGCAAACCAGACACAGCAAGCCGAGTGAGCTTCTTGCAATTCATCACAATAGCACCAAAACCCTCATCCATGGGTTCCTGAGTGACCGCATCCGGCCTATACCGCCCAATTATACACAAGCGAAACACCACAAGATCCGGACAGTTCTTTGACATGGAAACCACAGCCGCATTCGTCATCCTCTGGCAGAAAAACAAAATCGATTCCAACTTCCTACAACCCTGAGAAATGGCCTCAAAACCCACCTCAGAAACAGGCCCTTCCGTCCCCTCCCTGGCATCCACAGGGAAAACCCGAAGCTCGCGCAAGTCCTTGCAAGTCGCCGCCACCGCCTGAAGCCCTTCATCGCATATCGAATCAAGCACCTGCACAAGAACAACATCCAAACACCAATCAGCCCCAAATCTAAATTCGAATCCACAAGAATGCAGTGAAAACACACAATGGCACAGCACAATACATACCCACAATATCTGCAGCTTATGACAGTGTCGAATCACCGACTTGAGCTGAAGCGCATTGACATCCGCGTAGCTCAAATTCAACGAAGTAAGATTCGCGCAAACCGGAAAAATGGCCGGAAGGTAATCCAACCAAATCTCCCTGAATCCGGAGAGGCAAACCAAGGATCTGCAAGCCTGAAAGGCGGCGGCATAATCGGGCTCCTGATCGGGAAGCGGCGCGCCCTCCGTAGCACTGAAGGAGCCAGTTCCAAGGTGAGTAAGCTGAGGAGCCCGAAGCATTAACCGGTAAAGCTGAGCCATGGAGACAGATCCGTTCAGACGAAGCTTCTTCAAGGAAGGTGACCTAGCCACCAAAGCCTCCAAAGCCTCGAAATTAATGGGACACTCCACGCAATCGAACATAAGAGACTCCATATTGGTGTGGGTGTCGGGAAAACACGAAATCCAATCGACCTCCTCATCGTCCTCAAGCCCCACCACAGATTCCACAAGCTCAAGCACCCTAAGCGACCTAAAGAGGGGAGTGGAAATTAGAAGAGAAAGGTGACAGAGAGTGGGAGAGTGAGAGTGAGATCTATAGAATACCTGGACTTGGCGGCGAGGGCGGCAAGGCCGGGGGTGCCGAAGCCTTCGCAGCAAACGAGGACGAGTTCGCGGAAAGAGGGGAAGGAGTCGGCGAGAAGGGCGAGGTCGTGGTCGGTGAGGGACATGCGTTTGAGGTGGAGCTTCTCGAGGAAGGGGTAGGCTTGGGCCAAGGCGGAGGCCCAAGGGGCGAAGTGGGCCCCCCAATCGAGGGGCAGGAGGTCGAAGTCAGCGAAGCGGGGTTTGCCCTTGAGGGTGAGGGACTTGACGCGAGTGAAACGCGAGGTCGCACGGTTGGGGGAGAGGGCGTAGCAGTTGCCGATGAAGAGGTCGGATCGGGTCAGAGCCTCCGCACGGTACCAGGAGCGGCACACCAATGAGGCGGCGTTCCGGTCTCGCCGCCAGGTCAGGAAGTGGAGCACGTTTTCCAGGACGTTCTCCAGGACCTGGTCCGGGAAGGGGGCGTGGGGCTCCGACTGAGCGCAGGTTCGGCTCTTGGAAGTCGAGGATTCCGTGATTTCGAAGGACCGGTGCTGCTCCTCACCCTCACCCTCACCCTCACCCTGCTTCTCTCTCATTTCTTATTGATCTACTGTGGCTTTCGAATCTTAATATCTTTGATTGCTTTTGCTCTGGGAGTGAGTGAGTGAATGAGTTTTGAGCATATGAGAAAGAAAGAGAGAGAGAATTGGGATTTTCTAGTTTAATTGCTCACAACTCACAACACAGGGCCAGGGAGTGACAACAGTAACCTCAGCTGTCTGTGTCTCTCACCTTTACCATTCCGATTCTCCATGCCCTCTCTCTTTCATCACAAATATCCAAATCAAATGCCCCTCTCTCTCTCACACACACTTTTATCTTCACTTCCCTTTTCTTTTCTACTTTTTTTTTTCTCCATCTTTTCATTCTTTCTGCCTTTGGTAATTTTCCCACTTGTTACACTTTTTCCCATTCCCCTCAGGTTTAATGCTTTATGTTTATGGAATTAACTTCATAACTCTTTCAATAATTCTAAATTCAAATTTTGTCAAATAAATATTCATTTAAATTTTATATTTTGTATATATTATTTTAAGTTCGTATTATTTTAATTTATTTTCACTAAATTCATTCTAGTGGATCGAAATAAAAAAGAAACGATAAAAAGATATTAAATATTTATCAATTTATAACTTATTTGGATAATTATTGGCAAACATACAGGTGTCACAGTATATCCGACGTTATCTTTGGTATGAGTATAAGGGTGGTCATGATTTATACGAATAGGTAGTAGCTTGGTTTGAATATAAAATGGGTATCGTGGTCGTAATTCTGAAAGATAAATAAAGAAATCATTGCATATGCTCAAAATGCTTTACACCAACTCAGATTTTGAACAAACTCAGTCTTAGCAACTCGCATTATATAATTATAGAGCGCAAACTACTTTTGGAATTGACTGGACCACCACTTTCAAGGTTTATCATCAATTTGCGTTGCGTTAGTCAAGTTTATATATGTGCTGGACTAGTCACCACTTCGTTTTATTTTTTAATTATTATATTTCCAATTCAAAAAGATATTTTACTTGCAAACACACTTGGATAAATTATGGAGTCACAGAAAGCTACATCGCCATTACTTCTTTTCATGGAGTAAAAATAATCAAGAATTAATAGATTAAAATAAAGATCAAATTTAAGATTATTCAGATATATATAAGTGGAATATTAGTTACTAAAAGTCTCGCATATTAAACAAATGATAAACTCAATAATTAGAAAGAAGTAGATCATATAATATTGCAAGTGAAAAAGTTATCAAAAAGATTTAACTTTTAATAATTTTCGAAAATCTTTTATAAACAGAAGCCAATAATATGTTTGCAATTAAAATAAGAAGGAAGAAAGCAAACAGAAAAGCCAGACGGGCATGTTGTATGTAGTATGTACCAACCTACGTTAGAATTAATTAAACAATAGTATTTAAAATTTTAAATATATGAAGTTGTGTATATTTCGGGGAAAAGTTGGTACGGAAATAAGAAAATATATGTACGTACACTTAATTTTGCGACATGAATAAAAGCATTAACTTTGTTTTAAATAACTTTTATGAACATTCTCATGTCTTCCAACATAAATTACAAATGTATTAATAGAACGATAAATGTTGTATGATCCTCCATTTAATTCTTACCGTACAAAGGGAAGTATAGTTATATAAGGATTAGTAGATCATATTGTGGTAAAATTTAAAATTATTCACTTAGCATATTTATAAAAAAAATAATGTAATTAAATATTTATTTAATAAATATTATGAGTTATATATATATAGTTGTGTATGTGGCACTAATACCTGTACTTTTTTTTTTCATTGATTTTGTTTAACAAGGTAATAAGTTTTCAATGAGATATTTAATTTCTCTTAAAAAAATTATTAAAAAAATTGACACCAAAAAAAATATATAGAATTTATTAGAAAGCTAAAATTTGAATATTTTCACAATTTATAAAATCAAATAAGTCTCCTTTTCTCAATAAATTTCTAATTTTTTTACTTTACAAATTATCAAAATAGAGTAAAAATTTTAAGTTAAATTATTTGTGAACATATTAAACAATATAATATCAAAGTAAAAATTGTAAACATTGGTACCATACTTTAAGTAGGCAATGATATTACATGTATTTATGGTTTTGATGAATTAATGATAGATAAATTAGTGAAATTTGAAGAAGATACAATATGCATTACTTGAATTTGGAATCCAAATGTTGGTGTAACAATTTGTATGGAGTGTAAGCCTCCCCAAAGGTAACGGAGGCTTGCAAAGGTTTCCTTAAACCAAATAGAAATTAGTTTATAAGGGAGTTTGATTACAATACCCACTTATTGAGCAGAGTAAAAGTCAATTTGAGACGGTATTTTGTAATTATATATGAATAAATTTAATATTCTTTATTTATTTTGTGATCACTTGAAAAGAACAAGATGTATCTTTTTTTTTTCCTTCTACAACATATAGGCTAATTTGAGACATTTCAAGTTGGGATGTTGATTAGTAGTTGTTGGAGGTCAAGATGATGACCAATAAGGGTGTTGTCCTAACAAAATCCTTGCATTGTAACAACTATGGCATGGTAGGATTTTTGGATGTGATTGACAAGGGACAAAATTTGTAATGCATCTGTCTAATGGGTGTGGGAGGTGATCCAATTGAGTACATTATGAGCAAGGGTGGTGTCATTGAGAGATGATGACTTATTTAGCCAAATGACTAATTAAGAGGCACATTATGGTATTTAGGTATAAGTTGGAGTGAGATCATTTGTTTAATTGAGGATAATTTTATAGAGTACATAGCCTCAAAAGTTATAAGTGATAATAAAGTTTAAGTGACTTGATTTGACCTTATCCACTAAAGAAAAATCTTGAAAGATACACAACACTAAATGTTATGAATGTTTATAAGCCAATAATTTTTTTATGGAATGCAAATTCAATCGATCTAATCATTGTATTTGATGATATTATGTTCATGAACATGTATGACATATTTCAAATGACTTAGATTTTTTTAAATATTTAATAATAAGTATTTATATTTTAAATACCATTTTATATATTAAAATAAAGTATCATGTTAAATTGCAAATTAATTTTATAATTGTATGTAATTTTATATTTGATATAATTAGTAATGTTGTCAAATATAACAACTAAATCAATTGAATTTACATTTTATAAAATAAAATATTGGTGTGAACAGATACTGGTTTGTCTATGCGTGTGTATAACTCAACAATGATTTATACTATTAATAAAAGAAATTATCATATTTTGTGTATACATTTTTTTGAATAATTTTATTTTTATAACTACCTCTCAAACTATTATTTTTCTCTCTTAATTAATTTTCAAAAGTTATTATTATAATTACAATTATGAAAAATTGATCAGACCTTCACTCAATTTTTTTTTAAAATACACATAATATTTTTCTTATGCTAATAATAGAAAATTTATTTATTTGAATTGCATATGTTTTGCACTAATAGTATACTTCAACTGATCGTTAAAAAATAATTTCCCTTAAAGTGTATTAGGTTGATCAATAAAGTAAATTTATCTCACTACATATATATACATATACATATATATATATATATAATCCTTTATGATATAATTAAGAGTAAGTTATATTTTTTTGAGATATAAATATTATTATCTTTTTTATGTTAAAAAAATACAATTTTTCCTCAATAAATTTCAATATATGATAATTTACCCATTTAAAAAAATGTTGAAGTTTTGTTAGCTTTTATTATAAAAAAACTATTATCAAAATACTATTTACACTAACATTCCTTTAAAAATGTAAATATTTTATCACTTTCCTCTAAAAAAAATTCAATATGTTACATTTTAACAATTTATTTTTCAATTTACATATTTAATTATTATTTTAAATATCATTATAAATTTTACCAAGATTAACTATATGTCTTAAAAAATATTTTTCATTATTATCTTTACAAAATATTTTAAAATTTATATATCAAAATAAAAATAACATATTTATATAAGTAAAATAAAATCAAATACAAATTTCAAGATGTTATTAGTTAATGTCACATTTTATAAATATTTAAATAAAATTGTGTTTTCATTATATAGTATTTCATACATATTAAAGGTAATATATAAGTATTACGCTATTATTTAACTAGTGTAAAATAAATATATTATTTAATTTATGTTATTAATATCTAAATAAACTAGTATTTTATGATAAATTTTTATTTATTATTTTTAATTAATGTAACACTAAAATATGTATATTAAATATATAAATTTAAAATAAACATATTTATATTAATATTTTATTATTTAATAAAACATAATTATTAAATAATTTAATACTTATATGTATAAGTTAAATTATATTATATATATTGATGTGTATATAAAAGTATACATATATAATTTATTTTATAGTTTTTATTTTATTTATTTTTTAACAATTAATTTAACTTTAATTATATATTTTATAATTTTTAATTAAGTGAATGAATAACGATAAATTAAAAATATTTTAACATATATTTTAATTAAAAGTATATTTTTTATGAATAACTAAATTAAAATTATATTTTTATGAATAATTAAATTAAAATATTTTTTAAAATCTTATAATGATAATTATTTAGTAATTTTAAGTTAATATAATAAAAAATTGACAATATATTAATTATATCTCTAAGGGATTAAAATGTAATTCATTTGATATTTTAACATATTGATGATGGGTACTGTAATACTTACATATATGAGAAAAAAGAGTATAATTTACATTAATAATATTAAATTAAATAAATTAAATTATATATTTTAATATAAAAATATAATATAATATACATTTATAATATTTTTATCTCTCGAGAAAAATAACATATTTTACTCTATAATTAAAAAAATCCAACTATATACTAACATGTGTTTAGTTGAATATTTTTATCATCCTAACTAAATTAGTCAATTAGATTAACCATCAATGATAGTAAGAATAATTTTGACTTTTGTGATAAAATAATATTTTTTATATTTTCTTATTATTTATATTTTTTATTTCTTAATTTTTACTATTTTAATAAAAAAAATTCAATAACTTAACTCAATTCAAACTATATATAATTGAATTATGTGTTAGATTAGATCACCACCTAAAACTATTTCAAACCATTTTTATTAATTTAAATGCAAAATTCTTCGACATCTAATTTAATCTACGATCATCATAATTATTTGAAACATACTAAAAGTACACATGATTTTTTAATAAATATAAAAAAAATTATAAAGATGATCGTAATGAAGATTGAATCTAAGTCCTCATACTTCTAACTAC